TCAACTCATTAAAAAACAAAAGTTATAAAGTAAATCAAATAGCCATAAAAACAGTTCAACTCATTAAAAAACAAAAGTTACAAAGTAAATCAAATAGCCATAAAAACAGTTCATCTCATTAAAAAACAAAAGTTATAAAGTAAATCAAATAGCCATAAAAACAGTTCAACTCATTAAATTGTTTATGTTTGTTTTTTGAATTTCGTGCGAAGCTACACGAGGGCTATCTGCGCTAGCCGTCCCTAATTTAGTAGTGTAAGACTAGAGGGAAGTTAGCTAGTCATCACCACCCACCGCCAACTCTTGGGCTACTCTTTTACCAACGAATAGTGGGATTGACCGTCACATTATAACGCCCCCACGGCTGAAAGGACGAGCATGTTCGGTGTGACGGGGATTCGAACCCGCGACCCTCAGATTGCGAGTCGAGCACCTTAACCACCTGGCCATGCTGGGCCTCAACTCATTATAAAACAACAACAAACAATGGAGGTAATGGTATATGATTATATTAGTAATAGAAAATTTATGATAAATAATGAAATAGCCTGGCGGAGTTGTCTGTGGTGACGTCACAGGGGCGTGCCCAGCACTACAGAGTGGGGTGGCCTTTTCCCGAAAAAAATGTGGACCTTATCTTCTACACAAAACCAATTGCTTATTTAAAAGAATAATTAGAAGATAGTGGGCCTTTAAAACATTTTAAAGTATTAGAGGTGGTCGTTCGACCCCTCCCCCAGATTCCGCCGCCTTGACTACGCCCCTGGTGGTGAGGTTCATAACAACTCAATGGCTTAGCGGTAAGATAGGTGGCTTATAACGTTAAAATGCGAGGTTCTATCTCTGCGGTGGGCATAACACAGATAGTCCATTCTACAAGCTTTGCGCTTGAAAAAAACAACAGTACAATTCAAATGAATTTTTGGATTGAGATAAATGTAGAGTCGTCTCGTCACTCGTAAACCTTAAAGAAAAACTTGCTTCAAGATTATCCTGAACAAACCTTGTGTTTTTACACAATATTGGTTACTTATGTTATAACATTTTCCTTGTATCCAGTGTTTGTTTCTTGAGATAAAATCTGTTTTTATTACAAGTTTACCTTAGCATTTAATGTAGACGTGTAAAATTTGGGTAATTTATCAATTTGTAGAAATTAAGCCTAGAAAGAATTATAGGTACAATAGTCGAGAAATTCTTAAAAACTTAAGCCTAAACATGCTAAAATATTATCCCTGTTTTAATGATAATTTACACGCCTTAAATCATTTTTTTCTACTCATCGTACTTATTTACTAAGTTTCTTAAACAAGCTGTTAATTTTTTTTTCCCAAGCCACGGTCTTACAAAAGAAATGTTTGCACTATTTTACTTAGAAACATAGATAGATTTAGATTTTTACATCAAGCTGCGTAGATGCAGATAATCACACTTGCGATCTAAACAAAAAACCAAGAAAAAATAAATAAAAAATTTGGCCCGGCATGGCCAGGTGGTTAGGGCGCTCGACACGCAATCTGCGGGTAGCGGGTTCGCATCCTCGTCCCACCAAACATGCTCGCCCCTTTCAGCCGTGGGGGCGTTATAATGTGAC